CACTGGTTTCTTTGCTGTCTTGAAGCAGAAAAGTGTTTAGTTGGCAGCACTGATATTGAGGGTTTAGCACCAGGGTGCGTTTGCCACCTGGCTTTCCACGCATAGGGCTGTTGACTTTCAGCTCCAAACTAAGCTCAGAGCAGGTGCTCCTGATGAATTTCTGTTGCCTTTGTAATATAGGAGGGCACAGCTCAAAATTTTGCATCGTTGGACTGGAACCCTTCTAGTTTGTATGCACTATGTAAGGTGTAAGGCAAAGTAACCTCTAACTACTAATTAAGAATGGAAAAGAGGGCGAGTGCACACAGATTGCCTTTGTTCTTTTGTCTGAGAGCATTTTCCAAACTGTCATGTCTTGAAGAGACAGGGGTGTATTTCAATAGTATTAGAAATGTAGCTGTTTCTATGTATATATGTTTATCAATATAGTGTGTAATACTGGTTTTAGAGAGGGCAACTGTAAGGAGCAAGAATCCATATGGGAACAAGGCAGTAGCATAGCCATGATGAGGGTTTAAAATACCTGTCTTCTTTTCAGCCATTTAAAGTTTTGGCAACTGAAACTATAACTGGGAAGGCATTAGAGGCAGATATATACAATGCAATTCCTACTGAAAAGGTGGACGGAAGCTGCTGTTATGTAACTACCTATAAAGGTAATAAGGAAGATCCATATGCAGATTTCTTATGCTGACTAGAAGCCTTGTTTTACTTAGTGGTACCACTTTTATGGTATGATTTATTGTATTACAGCTATTGTGAATTAAGCTCTCATTAAACACCTTGACCAGACAGCAATAGTTACCATCAACATAGAGGGTGTTTGTAAAGTTGTTATAGATTTTACTCTCTAAAATACATCAAGTATGGTTCAAGTGAACATGCCAGTCAACTAACTATTCCAGTTTCAAAACTTCCTATTAGTAAGTCTTGCACACTGCAACTTGTGTAATAAGGGGTGTCTAATTTCCTTGGGGAGGATTGGAAGAAGAGTGGAGGTTGGGAGGAAATGAGGAGACTGTGGTTCATTGCATCGCTGGGGTTCTTGCCTTTGCCTGAAATTGTAAGGAACTTTGTATCAAACTAGGCAAGATTCTACAAAGAGATTTTGAGAGTCATATGCAGTAATTAATTTCTGAATGTAACTTGTGTCTTTGGCTATAAAAAAGTTTCTCTAGTGGCAAATGGCCTTTTGTGCAGTTGATTTCAGTACTCTCTGCAGGATGTTGTTACCTCAGTAAACTGCTGGTTTTATCCCTCTGGAAACTCTAGGGCAGCCCTATCTCTGGGCCAGGCTGGATCGAAAACCCAACAAACAAGCTGAGAAAAGGTTTAAACGATTCGTGTATTCATTGGAAGATAGCAAAGGTTAGTGAAGATTTGTTTCCTTCTTTTTAGCAATCTAAGTTACCATTTGGAAAATCACCTCTAGTCTAACATGGGAAATGTCAGTGATTCTGCTCCAGTATTTTTAATGTCACTCTGAACTTTACTTCAAGAGATTTAAAGTAGAATCGATGGGGGAAGGAGATACCAAAAGGATTGCAGTAGGTGAGCCAGGGGTTGGAAACATTTACACTGCTCCTGGAGCACAGGGGACTCAGGAGTGTATCTGAGATGTCTGTACACCAACACACACAGTATAAGAAACAAACAGGATGAACTGGAAGCGTTGGTCAGCTCACAGACCTATGATTATCATGGGTACTAGTAAGACTTGGTGGAATGAGTCGCGTGATTGGAGTGCTGGGTTGGAATGCTCCTGGCTGTTCAGGAGGGATGGGCAGCGCACGCAATGTGGAAGTGTCACATTATACATAAGGGAGAGTTTTGATTTTACAGCCCTTGCAGTTAGTGATGATGTGGTTGAGGATTAGGGGAATGGAAAACAAAGGAGATGTTGCAGTGGGTGTCTACTACTGATTGCCCAGCCAGGATATAAGTACTGGTAAGTTATTCTGTAGGCTATTAGGAGCATTTCTGCATTGGTAACCCTTGTTCTTATGGGAGATTTCTACTTCCCAGACATCAGTTGGGAACATCATCCTGCTATGATGAGCTGATCTTGGAAATTCTTGAAGTTTTAGGAGATAACTTCTTCTTGCAGACATTTAGCGAGCTAGCTAGGAAAGGTGCCGTCCTAGACTTGCTATTTGTGAACAGAGGAGGACTCGTGGGGGATGTGATGGTAGGTGGCTGTCTTAGCCACCATGATTGTGAAATGGTTGAGTTTAAAATTTTCAGTGTAATGAGAGAAAAGAGGACAGCAGAGTTATTACCCTGGACTTCAGGTGAGCAAACTTTAAGCTATTCAGGGAGCTATTTAGCAGAGGACCCTGGGGATATGCTTTTGAGAGAGTCCAGCGCAGAGCCACAAAGATGATTAAGGGAGTGGAGCATCTCCCTTATGAGGAAAGGCTGAGGGAGCTGGGTCTCTTTAGCTTGGAGAAGAGGAGACTGAGGGGAGACCTAATTAATGTTTATAAATATGTAAAGGGCAAATGTCACAAGGATGAAGCCAGGCTCTTATCAGTGATGCCCAACGATAGGACAAGGGGCAATGGGTGCAGCTGGAACACAGGAGGCTCCGCTTAAACTTGAGAAGAAACTTCTTTACAGTGAGGGTGATGGAGCACTGGAACAGGCTGCCCAGGGAGGTTGTGGAGTCTCCTTCTCTGGAGACATTCAAGACCCGCCTGGACGCCTTCCTGTGTGATCTCATTTAGGTTCCTGCTCCGGCAGGGGGATTGGACTAGATGATCTTTCGAGGTCCCTTCCAATCCCCAACATTCTGTGATTTAAGGACTTAGGAGTCCACCAGTGCTGGCCAGTCTTTAAGAACCATTCTTTAGAAGCACAGGAGCAGACAATTCCACTGTGTTGTAAGTCAAGCAAGCGGGGCAGAAGAGCAGCTTGGCTGAATAGGGAACTGCTCATGGAGCTCAAGAGGAAAAAGAAATTTTTTGATCTCTGGAAGCAAGGTTAGATTTTGGAGGAAGGATACGGAACTGTGGTTCGTTTATGCAGTGAGAAGGCATGAAAGGCCAAAGCTCAATTAGAGTTGAAACTGGACAGTGTTGTTTCTGACAACAAGAAGGCCTTTTTTAAGCATGTTAATAGCAAGAGGAGGTCTAAGGAAAACATTGAACTGATACTTGTTGAAGATGGTTACCTGGCTAATAGAGATGAAGAAAAAGCAGAGGCATGCAGTGTTGTGTTTTTGCCTTGGTCTTTAATAATACTGATAGACTTCGGGCTGCCTGGTCCGCTGAGGTGGAGGACCACAAATGTGGGAACAGTGACTTTCCATTTGTGGACACTGAAATTGTAAGGGACAAGCTGTATCAGTGGAATGTTCATAAGTTCATGGGGCTTCATGGGATTCATCCCAGAGTACTGAAGGAGCTAGTGGATAGTATGGAGGGCCCCTCTTGATCATCTACCAAAGATCTTGGGAGTCTGGGGAGGTCCCCACTGACTGGAAGCTAGCCAGCATTATTTCAGCCTAAAAAAGGGTGTGAGGGAAGACCCAGGAAAACACAGACCTCTTAGTCTAACCTGAGTTCCTGGAAAAATCATGGGGAAGATTATACTGCATACTATTGAAAAGCATGTAAAGAATAATGAAGTCATCAGCCGTAGTCAACATGGGTTCACAAAGGGAAAGTCTTGTTTAACTAACTTGGTATCCTTCTGTGATAATCAACTTTGATTACTGTCTGTAAAACAAGGTTCAGATCAATGGTATTTTAATACTTGCATTGAAAGACAATCAAAATGTAATATTGGCTAACAGTTTGCCAAAACTTGTCACATTTATATGTCTAGAATTTGTTTGGAATGTTGAAGAGGATTTCAAGCCTGTTCCAGATACCTGGATTCCAGCAAAGGACATAGAGTTCTCTAATGGCAATCCTTTGCCCGACGAAAATGGACATATGCCAGGTACCTATGTGCAGCATAGGTAAAAGGGGGGAACAGGGGTGGGGAGAGGGAATCAATTTTTGAAGTGAATTAGAATTAGTTCCAGAGTTATAAGAAGTATTTAACATATTCCGAAAACAACTGGAATGTCATTGATCCAGAAAGGCTCTGGTCTTCTGGCACATTGAAAATAATTGCACTTTGCTGTACAGACTTGGAGGGCTTCAGCTGAAGGCATAGTTGTCATGTTTGCATTTCTCTGAGATACCTCATAGTTTTTCTTGTTGCTCTTTCTGTTTGTAGCTAACTGGCTTGGTGTTTGGTTTGTTTTTTTGGTTTTTTTCTTACTGCATGTACAGTTTTATGGTAACTTAAGATACTTACTTTGGTAAAACACAATGTTTTCTCACAGGTTGGGTGCCTGTGGAGAAAACCAGTAAGCAGTATTGCTGGCACTCATCTGTTGTAAATTATGAAGCTGAAATAGCGCTGGTATTGAAACACCATGCTGACCCAGGCCTTCTGGAAATCAGTCCGGTGCCATTATCAGAAATTTTAGAACAAACATTGGAGCTTATTGGGACTAATATTAATGCAAATCCATATGGTAAGTTTGTATGGTCTGCTCTTAATTTTATTTAGTGATATTTTTGAGTGAAAACTATGTATTTTCTTTGTATAAGTTTTTTAAAAAAAAGTTGTAAGGTAGCAATGTAACCTTTTTAGAAAGGAGAGAAAGGGCTAGCTCAAAGAATGCTCACCAGAAAATACTCCCCTCAGAAAGCTGAGTTGTCAGGACAGTATTTATGTCTATTAAACCTCTTCCCACTGACATGTTCTTTAGGAGTCACTAGAAAAACACTTTGCTTTAGTCTTTCAAAAAATATTCTGACTGGAAAAGTTGTTTTAAATATTAATATTAAAATATTTTAAAAGATTGTTTATTGGTGCCTTTTCATGACTTTTTTTTTTTTTCTTGCTCTTCTGATGCTGTATAGTCCATTAAAGTAGAAAAATTTATTCAGCCACTCTTTTGAGTGTCTAGAGTTAGTCGTAAGTTTGAGTTGAGTCTAGAGTTAGTCATAAGTTGCACTTTTGACATTATGAAATATTATGAATTTTTTTGTTGTTTTTAAGGAAATGTAATTTAAGCTAAATATTGATTGTGGCTTCTCCCTTTAAAAGCCTCATAACAAAAAAACCCAATTGGGTATGAGCACAGATGAGTTCTAACTTCTGAGCTTTGCTGCTATGATAACTTGCAAAGGTAGATAGGAAAAATAGTAGTACCGGGTCTAAGAATTTTCTCAGAATGTAAAGGAACTGCAACAAAAAATTCTAATAGATGTATTCTTAGATGAAGATTTATGTTGAACAGTCAGTGAAGGGACAATGCATTTGTTAACAGCCTGGCTTAAGTATTAATCTATATTCATTAAAAAATGTGCCAGATTTGCAGGAACCAAGAAGTCTATGCTATTGATAATGATCTGAAGCATGAAGAATTTAGCTACTAGCTTTATGGTTACTGAGGAAGTGACCACAAGGACAAAGCAGACAAGTGTATAAAGCTCTATGTCATGTTTACTTTATATAAATAAAAAGTTACATGAGGAGGAGACAGCTACATTGGATACTTAAAAGTATACTTAACTGTTCTCTTAAAGGCAGAACAATGTTGTAGTATCTAATAGAAGTCTACCTTTATAGAGTGCTTTTAAGATAGCTGTAATAACCAAGTGAGGAAAATCTTAAGTTATCACACATAACTAGCAGGAAGATTTTTGGTTCTTTTAACATAGGATTAGGAAGCAAGAAGCAGCCTGTACATCTTCTTGTACCACATGGAGCATTTGAAAAAAAGAATCCACCTACTTTGAAACAAAATGACATACTGTCTTGGTTTGAAGGCTGCAGCGAGGGTAAAGTTGAAGGAATTGTGTGGCATTGCCATGATGGGTGTTTAATCAAGGTAAGTATATAGATGGACGTGTGAAAAGCACTATAATAGTAATATGTGAAGTATTGTGAGATATTCACTTTCTTTGTCTTGTTTTCTTTAGTAGTAAATATTCTCCTAGCAAATCAGGTGTCAGTAGAATTAGTCAAGCTAGTGAATCGCTACAACTTTTTCATTATCTACATTATGCTAATAAAGTAATTGAGAACATAGTATTTTCTTACCTGTCTGTATAGGAATCACTCAATGTTTTAAAGTGCAATTCTTTTATTTAAAAAATTCATTTCTTGTAACGTTGACTCACAGAACAAGTATTGTTAATAAGAATGTGATTTTTGATTAATTAGCAAATTTATATTATTTCAGAAGCTATGGAGGACACCTTGGTTCTTGTTTGCCTTGTGTGCTTGTTGTTACTCGTGTTGTACAGATAACTGGTTAATGATTATAAGTGCCCTAATTAAAGCACTCGCACCCCCTGGGTTGGGAACTGTTGGGCTTCTCTATCAAAATCTCTAAACTGATCTTCTTTTTATTTTAGCTCCATCGCCATCACCTTGGTTTACGCTGGCCACTTGCAGAAACATACCTGAATTCTCAGCCTGTTGTAATTTCTTTTAATAGAACTAAATATGACTGTGACTTTGAACCAAAGAGTTTGTTTCACCATTTTTCAAAATTGGATGGTAAAAGATTTGACAGACTCAAAGATATCAAGTTTGATGCTTGACATGATTTTTCTCTTTTAACTTATTGTCTTATGTGCTGCATTCCTCTTACTCGTGTCTACCACAGAAGTCTTTACAAATCATCTAGCTTAGGCAGCAGCCTAGGTACTATACGATTTTAAGTTTTTCCTAGAAGACTAATTTTATATAACAGAAGAGCTCCAACATCCAGAGCAGAGACCGAGCTTTCAGCATGTTTATTTTCAGTTCTGAAAAATCCTTAACTTTTCATCGTATTTCTGGAAACTGTTAAGTATAAGAAGTATGTTGTCTAACACTGACTGGTCCTAATTGCTTAGCTAATAAGTGCAATCAACTGCAAAAGTTCCATAGATTGCACTTCTATGAATATAAGTATTATGACACTGTTAACATGTAGGATTCAGATTTAGGATCTAGTTGTTTCTTTACAGTAAAGGACATATTTCAGGTGGGACCCAAATTAGTCCTGAAATTTTCCAATTTTTATTTTTTTTTAAGTTGTAACAGTTTCTATTGGGGGAAAAACTTTTCACTGTATTATTTAACTGGTAAGATGCAGCATTATGCTATTACTTGAAAATCTAATTAAGCTACATCCTACATGTACTTCCACTGTTTTGGGGAAAAAAGAGTAAATAATAGAAAGTATACTAGTTCTATTTTGGAGAGCCTCAGTAATTAGAGACATGACTTGGCTTAAAATTACAATACCCATTTTCAGATTGCATCTCAATTAGGTAACTTCATCAAGGGCATATTAAGTCAGATGGCATATAAATAATAAAGGTGAGACTGCATGATTGTTTGAGTTGGCTTTATTTTATCTGTGCTATACATCCACCTATATAAAATATACAAAATGAGAAATCATTTATCTACAAAAATACTATTAGTTTGGCTGAAATACTATAAATTTATTTTCAGTTCTTTGAGGTAAAAGTAACCAGGGATGTAAGAACAGACATCCAGCACACTGACCCCATAGTTAAGAAGTATGATAGCATGAGACAGCAAGAACAAACTACATATTCTTATTGATCTGGAACTTAGCATACTTGCCACATTTTAAGAGTTTCCCTACCTTTAGGATAAGTCCAAGGTTTCAGCATCACCTGGCACCTGTATATTACCCAAATTACTGTTATGAATTAAAATATAATATTGCAAAACAGCTGGGAAAGGTAAAACTCACTTTAATTTTTACTGGTATATATAAATACTGACCGTAATCTGTTGACTAATACAATTCTGCACTCTTAGGTTATGTGCTGTAACTACTGTAATTTTAACAGACTTGTACCATTCCAAGATTAAAAACAAACAAATAAATCTGTATTATTTAACTGCCCCAGAAAGTATTTTTTATATCAGTACTGAGGGTACCAAACACTAGCCTACTCAACAGAAATGTTGCCTGCACTATCCACTTGAATGCCAAACTCTTCAGAAAGCTGCTTTCATCTCTCTTCTGAGATAATTTTTTTTTTTTTACTTCTTCATTGTAGTTATATTTCAGATCCTCAATTTTTTCAAAAAATGAAGGGTCCAAGTTTTCTAGTTCTCTTCTCAGCTTTTTTTGTTTCTTCCTGTTAAAAAGAACAAAGGAGTACCACCTTCAGAAATACACATCAACAACAACTTTTTTTTGACTTTTTCTTAACAGGCTAATGATGAAAGAATAAGCATGTTCTCTAGAGACACAAAAATCTACCCATGAACACCACATTCACTAACAAAAAAATAGGATTCATAAACATAATGTTTAGAAATTGGCTTTGTCATTAAATATTTAGAGCTGTTTATTTAAATAGCTCTTTCTAGCTAAACATAACTTTACTCATTATTGTGCCTAGGATGATTCTCGCAGCTCACCTTTAATTGCTGTTTTTCCAACTCTGATGCTTTCAACTGTGTCTGGAGGTGAGCTACTTCTGTCATTAACTTGTCATTTTTATCCTTCTCTACAATTTTATGATGATGTCCTGCAAAAATAATGGTAATTTGTTATGAAATTGAAGGTAATGAAAATCAACGACATGAATAATCTTGTTACAGTAATTCTGCATCTCCTGAAAGCTGAAAGTGTGTAAACCCAACTGGGATCAACAACCACTGAAAAATTCAAGTCATCTGGGCTTTTCTTTAACTCTTGTATAAATTAGGTGGTGCTGTCTAGTTCCTGTGATTAAATGCAATACTCCAGTGGCCAGTCTGTTAGCACACTTCTGAGAAATACGACATGTACAGTTTCTCTGAATTAAGTGTGGGAAACTTGGAAATAATGTAGTATAAAGATCTTGTAAATTATATAAATTATTCATAATTTCAAGAGGGTTAATTTTTTTTTTTTCCCCCAGTCATATGGTGATGTGCTGCTCTATAGTGCTCTGCTTTTCCCAGGGGCCTGATGCCTGCTAAGTTTTTAATCATTCACAGAGCTGGTATCTGGAAATAGAGATTAATTCTCTGTCAGCTTGGAATCCAAGGCAAAAGGGGTAGATAATAGGGTCTCAATGAATAACTAACACTTTACAAGCAGTCTTTGAAGTTTATAAAGCAAACGGTGGCATGAACTACACACCTTCTTGGAAAGGGAAATATTACAAAGTTTACAGCCTCTTGTTCAGGATAAGTAATTATGGAGACTTTTACTAAGACTTCTCTATAAAAAGCTTGTCTGAGTACTGGAAAATACAAGACCTTAGTCTGCTCCAGGTTATGGTACTCTGGCATTAATGTATTTCAAATAACTGTATATTTACTATAATTTTGTACACACATATGAAGTAAAAATAGTTTTAGGCCCAACATACAGAAAGATCTTTATTTTAGGTATTTAAAATTATTATCAGCTGCAGGACATTCATTTGTATATGTGTGTATGTCATGTTTATAATCTTCCATCTGGTAAGCTAGTTCTGCTTTTTCATTCTTGTCTGCCCAGAGAAGCTGTGGATGCCCCCTCTCTGGAAGTGTTTAAGGCCAGGCTGGATGAGGCTTTGAGCAACCTGGTCTAGTGGAAGGTGTCCCTGCTGATGGCAGGGGGGTTGGAACTAGATGATCTTTAAGGTCCCTTCTAACCCAAACCATTCTATGATTCTTTAATTGATTATTAGATAATCTGGAATACAAAACAATTTTAGAATAACTTAATTATTAAAATATTTTAGAATATAAAATATGTAACTAAAAATCACAATAGCCATTTCCTGATCGTTCTCATTTCACATATACAGGCTGAGGTATTTATTTAGTTATGTAAAAGTATGTTACCTTAAAAGCTGAAGCAGTTCAGATGGAGTTCTCTTTGATACAAGATTAGAAAATGAATGAAAAAATATTAAGGATGTAACCAAGTACTAGGTTATCAGAGAAAAAAACCCAAGCGTTTATTTCATGAAGGTTGAAGAAAAAATATTCAAAAGTTAAATTTACAAAGAAAGACAGTTACATAAGTATAATTTATATGTGTGCTTAAGGAAGTGATATGCCTAAATCATTCAAGTGCTTTAAAAATACTACTGACATGCATACCTAGGTGTCCAGGTTCCTATTTGAACTTTTTAAGCATCTGTACCTACAGGCCTTCATGTGATGAATGAAACTATAATTAAAAAAAAACCCTACAGAAGAATACAATAGAAAAAAAATAATTTTCCTTTAGGAATGCAAGTCGGGAATATATATTGATAATTTGTGGTAAACCTTATTAACTGGCTAAAATATGTAAATATACAATTCCAGCAAAAACCTCCAAAAGCATGGATGACAGAAAAAAAAGTATTCTGCCAATAAAGACATTAGAAATTAATTAAGAAATCTATTCTCAGAGTCATCTGGCTAAATTTTACTCGCTCATTCTTTTAGATCTTTTAAGTTTTTATCAGCATTATGTTCATGTTCTGTTGCTTCCTGGAGCAGCTGTTTAAGATCAGCAGATCTGTTTTGGGTTTTTTTAGCAGTATCCATTTCCATTTTCTTCATCTTAGTTTCATGCATCCTGGTAGTATTTTTATTTAGAAAAAGATAAGAGCAAAAGCTAAATACTTTTGCAGAAACAGAGATTAAAATATCTTCAGGAGATTAAATGCCATAAAACACACCCTAAAATATGTTTGGGGCACTGGCCTTGAAATAATCACTGGTTTTATATAAGTGAGCTGAAAAAAGCATAATGAAAAATACTTTTTAAATCTTAGAATAAAGGCTTTTCCAAGTGTTACACTTTTGTGGATCTTACTTTGTGTCTACACTTTATTAAAGGGGGACTGGAATTTTCTTATGTTACTGCACATAAACCCCAAACTATCTCCTGCTGA